CAGCTATAGGGGCGAGGCCATGCACCGTAGGTGTCTCGTGAGTTTCATTTATGATTCTTCCTATATATAGATTCTCTAACATAGACAAGCTCATACATCACTTAAAAGAAACGCATCAGCAGGAAATTGTAGTAGAGAAAAGAAAGTTTGCTGACATGGAGGAGTTCATGACCTGGAAAGGAACCATGGAGCGGTCAACCTCTTCTCTGTATGTATTGCATTCCGCTCCACAAAAACGTACCAATCACTCTTGCTATTATTACTACTGTAATCGTTCTGGTGTGTATAATTCGAAAGGCAAAGGAAAGAGAGCGTTAAAACTTCAAGGAAGCTCGAAAATTGGTGGCCACTGTGTAGCGTATATCAGAGCACGTGAATACTCATCATCAGGGCATGTCGAGGCTGAAATATGTGGTCATCATTTACATGAAGCACAACTAGCTCATATTCCTCTTCCAGAAACGACTAGACACATGATAGCAGCTAAACTTCATGACGGTGTTGCAATCCAAGCAATCTTGGACTCCATTCGAGATAACATCCATGGTTCTGAAATAGATCGTTCTACATTGGTTAACCGCCAGGATATTCATAATGTACGCTACCAGTATAATATTGAAGGAATTCAGTACCATGCGAATGACCACTCAAGTGTACAGTTATGGGTAGAGAACATGAGAAATAGTGATGATGAGAATGTGGATGGTGCAGATTCACCTGTACTTTTGTTTAAACAACAAAATGTTGAGCAAGGGGATGATTTGGATGATTTTGCTGTTGGTGATTTTGGTATTGGTATTCAGACACATTTTCAGAAGGATATGTTCATGAAGTTTGGTGGGAATGCTGTTTGCATGGACAGTACTCATGGCACAAACATGTACGACTTTCATTTGGTTACAATACTAGTACTAGACGATTTTGGGAAGGCATTCCGGTTGCTTGGTTGGTTTCAAATTGCGAAGATGCTGTTGTTCTTCGTCAATTTTTGTTAAAAAGTTAAGGAAAGATGTGGTGATATTAAGACACATGGTTGACACATGGTTTCACCAGTCATGCGTTATTGATGACTCAGAGAAGGAAAACATTGATGATAATGATTTTATTTGTGTGTTTTGTAATGGAGATTGAATTTCATAAAAGTATTAATTACCGTAGGTCGGGATATATTCGCGGCTGCAATTATTCGCGGTCATAAAAAAATTCAATTAAAAACCATGGAAACTGTTAGAGCGTTGCTATGACAATTAAGACCACGTGTTTAGTGTTCAGCTATTCATCTGTTCTTTAGCAGCTATAGTGGAGCCATTCACCAATAGTGAGTCCTTCTCTATCTGTTAACTTCTTGTATGGACCTCTACCTCAGAGCTCTTTCAGCCTCTTTGCTGCAAATTGTTGCTGGTCCGCGTGCTGGTGATAATAAACCACGCCCAAGTCAATAAACACTAACTA